CTGGTAGAGCCTACTTTATTTATTTAGTTTTAATATTTTTATTTATATAGTACAAGGTCTTACTATGCAGCTCAGACTCATAGTGATCCTCCTGTCTCATCCTCCCCAGCGCTGGGATTACAGGTGTGTACCACCATGCCCAGTTTTGGTGGTTGGCACGGCAGCATGCAGTACCAGGGATTGAAACTGGGTCCTTGCACTTGCCAGGTAGGCACTTAGACTGCTGAGCTATCTCCCCAGCTCCTAGAACTTACTGTAATGCATATAACATGGGCCAGCTTGTTGGACTGGAGTCAGTGTAATCTGGGTGAAAATTATTGGTAATGGTTCATGAAGAAGGTTCTTTAGCATCACTCATAAGTTGTGCTATAAAGTTGGAAGGAAATGATCAGAACTGCACTCAAGCAACTGCGTTTTGAAATGATTCAGCTTTAGCATCCAAGTGTTTTAAGATGCCTCTCATAGGAGATAAGAGGTGGCAAGGCACTCGGTAGGAATGAAGCCCATTAGAAGGATCTCTGGACCTTGGAAGCAAGTAGAAGCCAGAGAGGGAACAGGCAGCTACGTGGAGTTCACAGTCTGTTGTTTAATTTAGTCCTTCCCAGGCAGGACAGACAAATGGCATTCTTAACAATTAATGTGTTATCACAGAAAAAGGAAAAGGAAGAAGTAGATGCTGGGTTGCTCATCTCTTGTAAACCGATCATTTTTGTAAAGTTCTTTTCCTCTGTTGGTGGAAATTCAAGTTATGATGCTAATTGGAAAAGAATGGTTAGGATGATTTTAGGATGAATTTATTCCCATCTTCTATAAGTTCATGCTGCCTTTTAAAACAAATTAAAGAGAGTAAATATTAGAATTAAAACAAAAAATTACAAGTGATTACAGAATTTCACTTAACAGCGTAATATGAATTTCACAGTATTTGTTATAATACACAGTGTTGTCTTCCAACCAGTTATTGATATTACCAGATGTATGCATGTAAAATTGGAAGAAGAAAGAAAACAAAAGAAAGAAATATATAAGAAATTAAGAAGAGAAAGAGCACAAACAATTAAAAAAAGGAAATGAAACAAATTAAGCATTATAATTGCTCCTTTCTATAGACCAGCAGAAATGCACAGTACAGTTGTCCAAGCCCTCCTGTTTTTGACCAGTTTTCAAATGCTTACCCATTATAGAAGGTAGAAATAAGTGGGTTGAGTATGTAGTTTGTTTTAGAACTAAGGTTAATTGCCTCAGGGTTACTGATTTGCATATCTACTGTAAATCAGGGAGAGAGATCCTCTGGAGATTGACAAATTGATTTGAGAGTAGCTTTGCAAAGGTCGTTCTGTAGTAAATGACATATGTATTTGTCACTTTTCTTGGTGAAACAAAATACCCTACACCAGCGATTTCAGGGAGGACAGTTACTCTGATTCATACTTTAGTCCGTAATTGGCTGCCTCCAAGGCAGGATGGCCCAGAGGTGTCGCAGAGGAGAAGCTGTTTATGGCATGGAAGTGGGGAAGCAAAGAGAGTCAAGGGAGAAGCTGGGAAGGGAGATCAGCCCACCAGGCAGGGTCCCCAGTGACCCTCCTCCTCAACCCAGACCCTCCCTCTCAACAGCAAGTCAGCTATAACCTCCATAATCCAGTCACCCTTCAGAAGCCCCACCTGTGACTACACACACACACGCACACACACACACACACACACACACACACGCATGCAAACACGCACACATTTGGGGAAGATCTAGAAATAAATTGTAACAGAGTATTCAAAGAAGTTAAAACAAGAAGTTTTTAAAGGTATTAATTGTCTTGATAATTGTTGGCCACAAAGATTAATCACAAGTGTTCACTGGTCAGCTTGCCCACTGCTAGAACAAAATACCCAGCACCCATCACTTAAAGGAAGAGAAGTTTAACATCATGGTGGAATGGCCCACAGAGCAGAGCTACTCACTCCATGGAATCTGGGAAGGAGAGCACAGGGAGAAGCACCAGTGAGAGGGACATCTTCCTAAGGAAAGTATCAGTGACCCACTCTTAAGGGGACCCCTGCCTCCACACAGAACATTCAGCTGTATTAGTGGGCTGACCCAGTGATAAGTCTAGTTCTCCCATGACTCAGTCACCTCTTTCAAGTCTCTTAATCCAGTCCAGTTGCCAGTTGAGCTTGACTGGCAAAATTCCACACCTTATCAACTTGACACCGAATTACATGTCCTTGAACCATACTTGATTTTCAAAAAAACACAATCATAAAGTCCTTATGCTGCCTATCATACTGTAACTCTTCTGGGTGAAACTAAAAATGCAGTGATCCTTTCCCTAAAGTCTCTGTAATTCCAACACTACTTAGAAGTCCAAGTCCAAAGCCTGTGAGGCACAGAGTAGTAATATGTAAGTCATAGAAGACATGGGCAGCCTCATGCTAATTGCAGCTCAAAGGGCCTCTCTCCTGGGCGGGCTTTGCACATTGTCTGTAACTTTTCCTGGTGGAGCTTCCATGTCCCTGGTTCTTCCAGCTTCCTAAGATCTCCAGGGCAGCTTCCATGTGACTCCCATAGCTTCATGCATTGTCATCCCAGGGACTCCTGGCAGGGATGCTGATGACCCTGCCATCAATTTTCTGGGTCTGCTGGCCTTCGTTTGAAATCTGGATAGAAGCTTCCATGACCCCATAATTCTTGCACTCTGGACATTGCCAAAGTCTGCTGCCAGCTTGTGCTGTAGCCAGGCCTCTTGGACCACAAGTGCAGTAGCTACTGAGTGCTTGAATGACTAAGCATGGGGACATGAATCCTGAGAAAACAAGACCTTCTGGGGAAGTGGGCCCAGGGGCTTTCTTTTCAAATGGAAGTTTTATCCCTTGTACACTTGAGCCTGCAGTGGGTGTTGTCTTCCTCATTCCTTAGATGCTTTCGGAGCATCTTTCTTCTTGATTCTCCACAAGTGTTTGGTTTCTTTTTGAAAAAAAAATCTCTTTAGTAACTCTACCTCTTTTGTCCACAGCTTTACATGTTTTTTTTTTTTTTTTTCTCAAATCTTTCTGCTCTGCTTTAGTTCTTGATTCTCACTATATACATGGCCCAAAGTAGCCAGCAGCATCAGTGCCACAACCTGAACATTTGATTGCCTTGAAAATTCCTCTACCAGATCAGTTATTCCATAGCCCTTAAATTCAGCCTCCCATAATGTCTTGGGACATGGGAAAAAACATAGTTTTTCTTGTCTTGTTTTGTTTTCTCTTCTAGAGTATATCATGCATGGCTTCTAGTCCACTTCCTAACTGAGTCCGCATTTCAATGTAGAATCTCATCATAGGCCTGGCCTTTGCTGTCCAAATTCCTGAACATAATCTAGTCTTCTGAGATCTTATTAGATTTGTCCATCAGACTCTGTTTGCAGCACCTTACGATATCTCTAACTCACATCTCATACCTTTCTAAACTTCCCTGACAAACCAGTTCCAAAGACGTCTGAACCACGTAGTTAAGTCACAGGAATAACCCTGTTTCTGGTACCTGTTTTCTGTACTGGTCAGTTTTTCCTGTACTGGCACAAAGTTCCCACTACCCACAGTGTAAAGGAGGAGAGGTTTAATTGGACTCACGGCTTCAGGGGTTTCAGTCCATGTTGTTTTGCTGGAATATCATGATAGAAGGGCGTGGGTGAGCGAAGCTGCTCATTTATGGTGAATAGGAAGCGGGACACAGAGGAGGAGCACCCAGCATGGGTAAGCCAAAGACACAACCATGGTGACCCACTGCCAGCCGAACCCTGTCTCCTCAGGGCATATTCAGTGACGACATTAGAGGGTTAATCCGCGGATGAGTACAGCACCCCACCTGCCATTTATCTGTCCAGGAGTCTCTTTAATCCAGTCAAGTTAACATGCAACGATAAGTGGCACAGAAGTGTCAAGGATCAGTAACAGGGCTGGCACTAATCCAAAGGTGAACAGACTCTCGCTGTCCTCCTACAGAACTACTTTCTCGAGAAGACTGCAGTGCCCTTAGCGCAGGGTTGTAGCTTTGAAGTCCTTTGTTGCAGTCTTATCCTTAGACATAAGCATAAGATCCCCTCTTCGCAGCTTCTTAGCTTTATTCACCTTTGTGGTTAGGCTTTGACAAAAGTGGCTCCGTTTTTATTCTAAGCGCTTTTACAGTTCAGTGCTAACTCACTGTTTTTAGTAGTTTATTATGGATAGCAGCTTTTTTGTTCAGAAAAGAGACCTATAATTTAGTCTCTGGAATTCTGTAGGACCAAGCTAACATTAGCATCTTCAGATAAACTGTAGGTTAGTGAGTGAATTTTAAAAGCTGTTCAGAGGCATTGTAGGAAAATGCACAAGTGCATGGATGTGCTTAAAAATATACATCGGGAAGTTTTTTTTTTTTTTTTCTGGTAATAAGAATAGGCTGGAGAGGTCATTTAAAATATATGTAAAAATTTAACTACAGTTAGTCTCCCCTTATGAGGTTCATGGCATACTTATTTATTTTTTTCCCTTAACATTTGATCATTTAAGTAGAGATTGTGCAGCGAGGCCTTCCAGAGCGGTCCCACTGGTGCCCTCCTCAGGTGCTGGTAGCCTCCGCCGGAGCTGTCTTGCAGTGTTGGCGGGATCACGGGATGTGACGTGGTGGATGACTGCAGTCCTCCTTTCATACTTCATCTTGGTCTCATAGCGTCTGGAACCCCTGGCCAGTGATCGTAGTAGCTGGTGGAACTGAATCAGAAAATGTGTATCCCTGGCTTTGGTCATTGCCAAGGGCTCAATGGTAGTTCTTTTTATTTTTAGTTGTCCCCTCCCCTTCTAGTTATCATTTTGTTTTAGGCCAGTTTGAAGTTAGCAAATGTTTTTATTGGTTTTTGATTTGATCTGCTGACACCATTGTCACCCTTCTCTGCATCACACAATGGAGATGGTGGAGCGGTACTGGCCGTGGCTTTACACACAAATTGTGTTGATCCTTGATTGATTTTGACTTTTGGACTCAGTTTCTTAGCAAGATAGTGAACGGCCTGGGAAGCAGCGAGCCTGAGGATCTTTCCAGCTACGAGTTCTCCGGTGTGAAGGAGGGTGGTGTGTGGGCCACAGTGAGCGTGGCCTCTGGACAAATAAAACATCAGGTTCATGTGCCATTGTGTTGCACATGTGATCTGAACCGAGGTCACTTGGCTCCTATCAGTCTCACAGGGGCAGCGGGGGGAGCTGGCCTGATGCAGCCTCGAAGATTCCCCCGAGAGCGGCATTTGAGCAGGCACATCCAGATTGGGAAGGGCCAGGAAAGCGCCAGCCTGGTCCAGCCAGAGCCCTTCAGCAAAGATGGTCCAAAGTGAGCGCTTTTTATGCCAGTATTGTCTAGAGTTGGCAGGGGGCAGGTCATGAAGGTGCTTTTTTCCTCAGATGAACTGATTGCCTATGAACTGACAAGAAGGGAAGCAGAGGCAAACAGAAGACCCCTGCCCGAACTGGTGCGCGCCAAGATCCCATTCAGCGCCTGCCTTCAGGCCTTTTCGGAACCAGAAAATGTCGATGATTTCTGGAGCAGTGCCCTGCAAGCCAAGTCTGCGGGTGTAAAGTGAGTGTGCGGTGGTGGCGGGGTGAGGGAGCCTGTTGGGGTGTGGAGACAGCTGGGTACGTGCTTGGTTGTTCACGCGTGGCAGTGTGGAGTCATTCTTTGTACACCCTTCACTTGAGAAGTGAGACCCATGAGACCTGTCCAGTCTTATACTTCATCTTATGTGCTAGAGAGGAGATGTCTTGTCCTGCAATTTTTTTTTTTTTAATATCAAATTGTATTTTGTTCTCTGTTAGGACATTGCATTTTATTTTATTTTGGAGGGTGCAGCCAGCATTCCTGTCCCCATTTGGTAAGAACAATTGTTCATGAAGATGCAATAAAACTACTTAGGGCAGGCTTTAGTATTGAGATTCCACCGTAGGGTCTTGTAACTGTGTAACTGAGGTGGCGGATAGCACAGGTTGGCTGTGCTCCTACTTGAAGACGAGGGGTCTCGGGGCATGTCCAAGTGGAAGGAGAAACTAGGAGCGTTGCTCCCGGCAGCTCCTGAGGGCTTCGGAGATACCTGGGGTTCACATTAGGAGGTTGGAGTAGTTTTTTTCCTCACTTAATACTCTAATTGATTTGATACAGTCCGACCTGGCACACTTTGTATCGCTGCTCCTTATGGGAAAGAGTCCTTAATGTGGCCTAAAGTGACAGGAGGTCTGAGGTCAGCTCTGGCGATGGCGCTACTTTGGGATCTTCTTTGGCTTTGTTTCTCTGAGGCTAAGATTGAGTTCTCAGTGGATGGGGAGGGGGAAGGGAGGGCAGCTGCTGCTGGCTCTTGCTACCATGACCTCAAGCAGCACTCAGGCCAAAGCTAAATCATTTTCTTCAGAGCTCCTCCCTCCAGATTCTGCTCTGTTTCAGAGTAGAGAGTTTACATATTATAAATGGGGAGCAGAACAGTTTATTTTCCACATTAAAAGAAGCCATGTATGAACAAATAATTTAAAAACCCGTATTTAAGTGAGGATTCATAGAATTCACTCAGTTATTGGTGGTCCACCCTGGGGTGAGTTTTTGTTGCCAGACTGCTCTGCTGGGGTCTGTGGGGGTCCGCGTGTGTCATGTGTGTTGTGTGCGTGCCTGTGCGTGTGTTTGTGTCCTTGCGGGTGCCGATGAGTTGGTATGCTGAATGGACACTCTGGGCACTTAGTAAATTATCAGTGATGGAAATAACTTACTCAGTCTTTAAGAGTGGGCTGGACATTGCTTCAAACATTGGAAATTTTCTCTCTGTGTTTTTATTTGCTTCTGTGTGGGGGGTGGGAAGTGATCATAAGATCCGGGAGCCCAGGAAGCCCCTCGTGCGGAGTGGAAATGCTCTTCCTTTCCTGGCCGAAGGCCACCCCTCTCTGCTCTTTGGAGTAGTGAACTGTGTCACAGTGCACGGGGGCAACCTCTCTGGGTCTGCTTGGCTAGCTGTGCTTCACACATGGAAAAGGCCTGTCATTAAAATGAGGCGGGGAGACGTTAGCTTTTCACAGACTTGGAGCCCTGGGCTGGTGGTCAGGGGAATCCAGATTCTTCCACTGTGTCCACTTCGCTTCTTATCTTCTGCCCTGGACAAATCATTGCCTAGTGTCCTCCCCCTGTCTGTCATGGAGGAATGCATTTGCTGCCCTGAAATTCTCCACAGCACTGCGGAGTATTTAGCTGTGAGAAGTGCTGACGTAACTACTTAGCATGCTTGGCCAAGAGGCGCTTCTGCCTTTTTACAGTCTTTTTTTTTTTTTTTTTTTTTTTTTTTTTTTGTTTTTTTTGTTTTTCAGTACTGGGGATTGAACTCAGGACGCTGCGCTTGCCAGGCAAGCACTTTTTCTACTGAGCTATCTCCCCAGCCCCTTTTTACAGTCTTTAGTGGAGATATTAAGCATGTTTTCCCCCTTTCTCTGCATACATACATACCCTTCCATGTACTTCCTCTTCCTCCTTTTCTTCCTTCTCTTTCTCTTCTTCCTTCTCTTTGTTACTGGGGATGGGATTGAACATGAACACAGGGCCTTAACACTGAACTAAACCCCAGCACCCTCCCTACCCCCCTTTTAAAATTTTGAGACAGGGTTTGGCTAAGTTGCCCAGGTTGGGCTTAAACTTGCAATCCTCCTTCCTCAACCTCTCAGAGCATTGGGATTATAGGTGTGCGCCACCATGCCCAGCTCTATATATTTTTTATATATACATGAAAAAAAAATTAGTATGAAGTGTAGCATGATGGTTAATAATTGAAAAATCGTCCTTGTGAAATAAAACAACTATCACTCATTTCCCTTATTGCGAGGTCATGTATTAAGCACTTCCCATCAAGTTCTGCCTTTAGTCTTCTTAGGAGTGTGAGGAGGTAGTTGCCATTATTTTCCCATTTTACAGCTGAAGAACTCAGAGGAGTAACTGGCCACTAAGTGGCAGATCTGGGATTCCTTCAGATCTGGTTGAGTTCAGGGATTAAACTCTTAGTTTTTGTGGTATATAGGACCCGCACATGGTTGTTTATCTTGCCTTGCTTATTTCTTATTTTGCTCCATCATTTTCCATATACTAGTTTCAAGAAGAACACTAGTGATTCCTAAAATTGTTTATTTTTCAGCGTTGTAGGCTCTAACTCAGCCTACATTTTGGTATATTGGGATCTTGAACTCTTTATTTTTGTTAGATCCAAAGTCTAAAAGGTCAGGAAACAGTAAACATGCCTTCACAGTCTTGCATCTTGTGGGTTCCTGCAGCCCAGAGCTATGGACCTTTTCCTAAAATGATCCTGAACGGGTTGCATTGGGAAGAACGTTAGCGTCTGGGAACATTCGTTCACTCAGCAAATGCTAGCCCACCTGGAGTATTCCAGGCCGTGAACTGAACAAGACCTGATTCCTGCCTGCCCCAAGGAGTTCAGTTAGAGGGTTGAGAGGGAGTTTCACCTCTCTTTTAGCATTCATGGAGGGAAGAGTGTGGTGTGAGTTCAGAGCACAGACCTGGGCTAGGTGAGAGGCTGGTCTTTGAATTTTTTTTTCTTTTTTTTGTGGAATGGGGGATTGAACTCAGGACCTTGCACTTGCCAGGCAAGTGCTTATTCTACTGAGCTATCTCCCCGTCCCTAAGCTATCTCCCTGGCCCAGAATTTCTAATCTGGAGCTTACAGGCACGTGGCCTTGCCTAGTTGACCCCACCTTCCTTATCTGTAAGTGGGGGGAGAAAGAAGTGCTTCCTTTATGGAAATGAGGAGAAGGTTGAAGGAACTAAGTCATGTTAAGTGCCTCACAGTTCCTGGCGCAGAGCAACTGCAGGGTGCACTAGTTACTGTTGGTATCTTTATGTTTCTTCTTTTTTTCTTTAGTGTGTATGATTGGAGTGTGGTGGATTATCGTATTGCCAACATACTTACTAGAAAGTGTAGAACTTTATTTTTGGTTCATGTTTCTATACAGCAGCTAGGTTTTCAATATAGAGACAGCCTTACTACTCTTAGGGAGAGGGGCTGGCTGTACCTTTTTCCTTAATAAAGTCTTCATGGTATATTTGCCTTAATTGTAACAACTGAGCAATCATCATATTTTAAATAATGTTAATAGACGGTCAACAGAAAACGCCATAGTGCTGTCAGGATTTATTTTAGACACTTTAGATGCCTTAATTCATTAAATCACCGCAACAACTTCTGAAAAGCACTGGGTGTCCATCTAGGGGTAGCCTTCTGACTTGCCTGGCTCACACTGAGTGAAGAAGCACTGATTCAGGCTGCACAGACGATGTGTATAAATAACAAAATTTCCTCTTTTTAAATAATATTTTTTGTTGTAAAATTTCTGTTTTTTTTTTTTTTTTGTCTTTTTGAGATAGGGTCTTGCTATGCAGTTCAGGCTGGACTCGAATTTGCATCAGTCCTCCTGCCTCAGCCTCTTGAGTGCTGGGATTATAAGCATAGTTTACCACACCTGGCTTGATTTTTCTTTTTCTTTTTCTTTTTGTGTTATAACATTGCAAACAGAGGTGAGCATCTAGCGGGCCATGGGCTGGATATACCTGAATTCTTTTTTGAATGTCTTACTTCCTGAGAGCCTTTACTAAAAATGCACAGCTTTCCAAGAAAAATGTTAACTCCAGGAATTTTAAGAATAAAAGAACATGCAGAGCCTAACTTATTATTTTGTATTTGATGAACAAACTTGGTATCCCAAAACTATTATAAATGTAAGTGGAGATATCATTTCCTAGATTAATTTGAACCTTCTATGTATTGAGCAGTTACTACATGGATGACTCAACTGAAGCCCCGGGGAAGTTACAAAGATGAATAAAGAGAGTTCAGCTAATGGGGAAAAGCAGTGTGGGGACCCAGTAGTCTGCTTTCTTGTACTCTAGGTGGGCGGTTACTCAGAACATAGTGATGGGGTAAATTATCGTGCGGCCTGGCTCCAAGCTCACGCGTGTTCGTCCACTCTCCCTCCCAGGTCCTATCAGCTGCAAACCACCTGATTCGAACCCCAGATCACCAGCAGGGGCCTTGGGGCTCCTACATCACGTTTTATGAATCACTGGTTTACTGATGACATTGGTTGATTTCCTTGTCACATATATTTTCAGGTTTTAAGTTAACATAAGAAGAGAAGGTCGGAAAGGTAGTTTTTTACACTAATTGAAAATACCATAATAGCAGATGGTGACATTGAGGACTTGGCTACATTTAAATAAGAATGATGCTAATTACTACTTCCCACAAGGTTGGAAAACTTAATTAGACATAGCATAAATTTCTGCAGTTGGGAGTCAGGATGGTAATTTCTTAGGGTGATGAAGCTCCCTTACATTATTGCCTGTGCCGTTCTACCATCCTTGTGGATGGGGAATTAAAATGTAGAGAAGTTATATAACTCTTCTGGGATATAATTCAGGTTCATAAAAGATCAATTCAGTGTCTAAAATCTCATGGGTTGACAAAGTTCATTCCGATTCCTTAGGCATACACAGTTCTTTTTAGTGTGCCAAGAGATTTTACATTATTTCATGAACATTGCACAGCTCTGGAAATAGATTTTATTAGTAAGTCTGATTTTTAGATGTAAAAACAGAGCCTCAGGAAGTCAGTGATTTACCCAGATTTGGGTGATTTAAGAGTGTATCCACGTGTTTCTACTTTTTGTTCATGCTTTGCCTTGCTATGGCTTCTTTTCTACACTAGGGGGCAGCAGTGCATTTGCATTTGCTGGACCCGGCATTGCGAATAGAAGGCAGTAGCTCAAATATGAAAAATGGAATCTGGGGGGAGGAGTTCCAGAATCTTTTAGCTAAAAGGTGTGCGTAGTACCTGTCTGCAGACCATTTTCGTCTTTATGTATACTTACCACTCATTAATAGTCAAGTAGAAACTGTTGATAAATAAGATGATAAAGACTGAATTAGATCAGGACAAGTATAACTTTCATTTATAAATGAGATATTTTTTTAAAAAATTAATTTTATTGAGAGAAATAGCAATGAGGCAGTTTCAAAACAGGTTAGTAGGACAGTTACAATAATTAATACATTGCATATTGTTGTCTTCGTAGTGGTTGTTCATAGCACAAAATGCGGACATGATATCTTGTCTAAACACAAATTAGATAATTGTTGTGTAAAATTGTCAAACCCAAATCCAGGCGTTAGACCTTCCTAAAAGTTTGAAGCAAACTCAAGATATGATACATAGGTATTAATTTTAAAATTTAAGAATCGGATTTAGATAGTTTACCATAGATGGCCATAACATAGCTACTCTGAAGATCCACATGACTATAAACTTAGTACTTAGTAAGGACCTGGCATTTCCAGTAGTCCGCCTCAACCAAAGTCAAACTGCTTCTTGCAGCGCTGTGCTGTAACAGTGCTTCTGGGTAGGGGCTGGGGGGTGGTGTTTCAGGGTCACTTGTGGAGCTTTACAGATGCGGGGTGCAGATGCTGCCTATAAATATCTACAAATATACACTCTAGTTTCCAACAAAGATTTTAGAAAAACAAATGGAAGTATAAAATATCATAGGAAAGTAAAAGCAGTTTTGAAATAGTTCCGAATCCCTCGGAAGGGTCAGATTTATTGTCCCACATGAAAACACCTTCTGCTTGTGGAGCAGCCAGGACAAGTGGGTGGGCCTGGGTGAGCGTGCGCACCCCGAGTGACTGTGTGCACGCCTCCTCTCAGGCTGACCACCAGGATTAGCGGGTGGGCTTCCGACAGAGCCATTTTGCTTCTTGAACTGTAGTCACCATTCTGTTTGCCTTGTTTGACGGATCTAATCCCCTTGTGTTTCTCAGAACATCTCGCTTTGCTTCATTCCCTGAATACTTGGTAGTGCAGATAAAGAAGTTCACCTTTGGTCTTGACTGGGTTCCCAAAAAATTTGGTAGGTACCTTCTGCATGTTTTTGCTTAAAACCTCAATCAAGCTAACCATTGAAAACACCTGGCATGTGAAAGCGCCCAAGCGGCTCTGCCACGCACAGCTCCATTCCATTCTTTTTTCCCATAGTCCCACTTTCTCTTTCACATCAGAATAGATAGGAAGCATTGACTATAAAAATGGCCACTTGCTTAGCCGCCTCCCCAAAAATGACTGAATTCTAAGAGTCGAAGTAGGATCCACACGTTATCAAGTTGGCAGCTCCTGCCGAGTGGTACTGTACATGCAGACAGCCTGGGATTTTGGTAAAATGCAGGTGCTGATTTGGCAGTATCAGTGGCCCTGAGATTCTTTTGCTGACAGGCTCCGAGGGAATGGATGTTGGCCCAAGGACCGCACTTTGAGTGGCAAGAAGTTGAAGATAAACTGCCTCTGAGGCAGGCAGGTGCAGCTAAGGAGAATCACATACGAATTTTACTAATACCTAGATAAAAACAGCTGCATTAATCAGTCAGAAAGGAATGCGATTTGAGCTTCATTATGCTTTCTTCTTGCTAATTTTAAAGGCTCACTTTTCAGACAACACACAGCACAGTTTCCTACCAGCGTGATTCCTTACAAAGCGCCCGGCTGTCCTCAGTGCAGTGCGAGGGGTACAGTTTTACCCTTCGCCATTTCTCAAGAGATTACTTGAGGCTGTCAGTCTCTTACGGTTTTTGTTTTTTAACACTCAAGGAAATGAAACAAAGCTAGACAAGGCGAGCCTGGAGCACTCATTGAAGGGGGCAGGGAAGGAGAGGCTGGAAGGTGCTGGGGAGGCCTCCCACGGTCCCTGGTGCTCGGGGCAGCGACCTGGGCTGTGCTGACGCTGTGGGAGCCCCTCGCTTCCCTGCAGTGACAGGCTTGGGGGCCGGACAGAGGGCACCCAGGGCAGGGTGCTGATCACCCAGCTACTCTGCAGGACCTGAGAGCGTCTTGGGGTACCCGACTTGTTCTGGTGGCTGTGAGCAGCTCTGAACAAGAGAGTTCTTATTTTTCTTTGTCCTTGAAATTTCTGTAAAGGAACAAAAGTTTGAATCAGATTTTATTGACTTCCTGAGTTTAGAAGAGCCTGAAGTGCAACCTGAACTTTTTATTGAACCCGAATTGAACATTTGTATCCTTTTTGGAGTCAGACTTCATGTTTGGCTTTGCTGCTCGCCTGACATCGAAATGTTTTAAAGCTTCGCTTTTGTTCTTTGGTTTGATGTTTTAAAATACAATTTTTATGTATCTGGCATCATAAGTGATTTGGGGCATGCTATTTTTCAGGTTTTCTTTGCAGGCCTAAAAGTCATATCCTGCACCAGCATGTGAATCTATTTTTAGTTATTATTTGGAAATGTGTGGCACTAAATCTTGACATACCAGTAGGCTAATAAATTTAGAATTTGAGACAGTCAACATATGAATAACTGAATAAATAGGTTTAAAAATGTACGCCAAGGACTAATTCATTTGTTCAGTTAATTGTTTGAAAGGTCATTCGTCACCTTAGAGTGATTAGAGCGCACGTTGCAGACTGAGCAAAGGCGTAAACTAGCGGCTGCAAATCAGATTCTAACGGGGACCAAGTGATAATCCAAGTGACAAAGTATGCTGGGTAGAAGAAGGCAGCCCTCTTGGCCTTGCTTGGATAGTTCCCCTGTGGTTACATACATAAATTAGGAAAAGATTTCTGTGTCAGCATAGCGCAAGTGTGAGGTGTAGGGCCGTAGGGTGACGGAGCCGGGGTCTGCGCCACCCTGCTGCATACTTATTGAAAACTTGAAACATATTGCTAACATTTTTAAAGGGCCAAGCAGAGTGTGTGGGGGCCACGAGTGGTCTCTGGGCCACAGTCCGTGGCCTGAGGCTGAGCCAGTGTGTTCTAGTTTAGTGTGAAATCCTGCCACCTCTGTAGTTCCCCAGACTGTCCATTAACCTGGCATTAGCGTCAGGGAAGCCCCTGGGCCTGGGCTGTGTATGCTGAGAAGCCTCTGTAGCTCCGCATGTGGAGTTTGCAGTGCTGGTTTTAAAATGGTTATATGTGTTATATGTGGACAGTCCGGTCCATGTAGTTTCTCTCATTTTGCAGATGTATCTATCGATATGCCAGATCTCCTTGATATCAACCATCTCCGAGCCAGAGGGCTGCAGCCAGGCGAGGAGGAGCTTCCAGACATCAGTCCCCCCATAGTCATTCCTGATGACTCCAAAGGTACCGCGTCCCACTGCCTGCTGGGAGGATGCTCCCTACCTCACTCCCTCCTCGGTGATGAGTCAATTTCCTGCGCCTCCTGGTGGGGCTTCTTGGCTGTATTCCTGGGCTGGATCCCAGCATAGACGCAGACCTCTGAGGTGTGGCTGCAGCTGTAAACCTAGACTTCACGTCCCACGAGCTGCTGCAGACCCGGCATCTGAAGGGACAGTTTTAAGTTTTTAGATTATGTAGCCTCTGGCTTTGACTTCTTCCCTGTTTCTGTTTCCTTTAAATGGGAAAAGAAGGGGTATGCTTGCCCCCTACTGAGAAGAAAAAGAGTATTTTTTTTAGTAGACTTTTAGTTTAGGGCTACTAAATAACAGTAGGCTGTATTATTCTTGGACAGCCAGAAAAAAGGGAATGTCACAGGGCCTTTTGATTTTAAAAGTCTTGATCAGATCTCATCTCCCTGCCCCATTTTTGTCGGTGCTTCCTAGCAAGGGGATCTCTGAGTTCCTTGTTCACTCTGTCAAGTGGGTCATTGTTAAGGGCACATAACTTTCAAAAGGGAAAGTTCGTGCAAAACATAATCGCTGCTTCTTTGCGAGTTTAAAAATAGTGTCAGAAAATCCTTCGTTTAATTATTAGCTCAGTTATTCTGGTGAAATCAGCTTCATTTGGGCTTTGTTTGCTCAACTGTTTACTCTTTGTCTTCCTAATGAGTTCGTTGGGTAAATTAGCTAATAATGAGCAGGTTCTCTGGGCCTCCGTGCCAAGGGCTTCTCACCAGTGGAGCGGGGACATTTTTGGGGATATTTGGTGCAAAAGAAGAGTAAGAAAGTCTGCAGGAGCCAAAGAGGATGCCAGGGTGGTAGGCCTGTCTACTATAGTGCTGTCCACCAGGAAGTCAGATGCTGACCTGCAGAAGTAGACCAGAGACAGGAACTATGTGTGAGACCCTCGGGGTCACGTGGACAGGAGCTAGGAACATAAATAGCCTTCTTAGGGGAGTTCAAAAAAGGAGGTGTATGAGCATCAGAGACTCACAAGCTGCTCCCCTTTTTCTGATGTTCAAAACAGAATCCTTGGTTATAATCATATCGAGTTGTGAGAACTATACCCAGAGAAATTACTTTCGTTTGTTAAGATGGTGATTACAAACATCATATTTTATCAGTTCTAAATGCCTAAGTAAGACCTGTCATTTTCCCTGACCACTGTAAGAACTTTATGTTGCGCAGGCTGGGACGGTCCACGTGGAGTCCTCTGGAGTGAAGGGGTTTGGGAATGCTTGGGTCCTATGCTTGGACTTTTTGTTAAACTCATTAACATGGATGGGTTTGGTCTCATTTTCTCTCTTCTCCCTTAATTTTCAGCTCGTCTGATGAACCAGTTGATAGACCGTATGTATCTTTTAAAATGCTTTCGGGTGTCATCCAATTGTTCTTAGTCGGGCACAGTTTTCTGTGCTGGTTTAGTACAGAAGCATTGCTCCCTTCCCGTGTGTGGGAAGCCTTTCCTGGGTGGGAACAGTTCTTTGTCTCCAAGTTGAGTAAGGAGCACATGTGAGCCGGTGCCTTGCCGTGGATACCCTTGCAGCTCTGGAGAACAACCGTCGAAGCCACCCAGGCTTAGTGGCAGTGTTGACTTTGCTACGTATGCTGACCTAGTGATGCTGTTTCTCCCCTCAAATAGCTTAGTGTTTAAGTGGCTTCCAAAAAAGTAAAGCCGTCACGTAACACCCCCCAAATAGCACCTTCTTTGCATAGCACGTAGACAGGGGGTGAAGGGCCAGCAAGACGAGAAGCAGCGGAGAGTTGACTTTCCCACATCTGTGTATCTTCTTGTGCGTGCAGCCTCAGACATCGATGAGTCATCGGTGATGCAGCTGGCCGAGATGGGCTTCCCTCTGGAAGCGTGTCGGAAGGCTGTGTACTTCACTGGGAATATGGGAGCCGAGGTGGCTTTCAACTGGATCATTGTCCACATGGAAGAGCCTGGTAGGTCATGGGATATGGAATGGTTTTAGAGGTTGATACAGTCCTTAGCAATATTGAGCTTGGCTCTTTGCTTGTCCTTGGGAGTGTATCCCCAGAAAAATGACTTTTTAGCTCATGATACTCTGCTGTAGTTGGACAAAGTCACAATCTGTCTTCCTTTTTCTCCTCCTTCTTCTAAATACAGCTTTAATAAGATACAGCTTGCTGTTCTAAAGTATGTAATTCAGTGGCAAGAAGAGCACTAGAAAGATGCTGTGATGATGACAACTTAAAATAGAAACGTGTGTGAAGAAATGGAGACCCTTTAGTTAGCTTTTTCTTTTATCTGCTTTATGAAGGTACAATTCCTATGTTCAAAACTCACTTAAAGTGTGTACACTTTCCAATGCATTTTAACAGACTTGTGATTGTGCAAACATTACCACCAACTTTAGAATGCTTTTGTTCACCTAAAAGAAATCCTGCAAACATTAGCGGTCATTTCCTACTTTCCTCCTGTTCCTCACTTCTGGTAATCATTTTCTGGCTCTAGGAATTTATCTACTATAGATATTTATGTAAGTCAGACAGTACAAGATGAGACCTTTGGTGTCTGCTTTCTATTTCTTAACATAATGTCTTCAGGGTTTATGTTTCATAGCATATATCAGTACTTCATTCCTTTTTATGACCAAATAATATTGCATGGTGTGGTCATACTACATTTTATTTATCTTCTCATCAATTGATGGCCATTTGTATTGTTTCCACCTTTTAGATTTTACTTGTAATTCTGCTGCAAACATTTGCGTGCATGTTTTAAGTGGATGAATGTTTTCATTTCTCTTGAATAGAACTGCTGCGTCATATGGTAATTTAATGTTCAACTTCTTGAGGAACTGCCAAACTTTTTTATATTGTTTTGTGAAATCTTTTTTTTTCTTTTTTAGTTAATTTTATTGAGAAAGAAATAGTAATGAAACAGTTTCAAAACAGGTTAGTAGGACAGTTACAATAATTAATACATTACGTATTGTTGCGTAGTAGTTATTCATAGTACAAGATGCAGACATGATATCTTGTGTAAACACTATTATTACAAATCTTCTCATTGCACTAGGAGAAAGTAGCTATGTATCTATCCTATTTTTTAAAAATAATTTTATTAAGAAACAAGTAGCAATGAGACAGTTTCAAAACCGATTACTAGCACAATTTCAATAATTAATACATTGCATATTATTGTCTTAGTGGTTATTCGTTGTACAAGATGCAGACATGCTATCCTGTCCACAAACACTATTAGAACAAACCTCTCTATTCAATGATCCAAGAGAATGCAGCTGTGTATCTATCTTAACTATTTTGAACATACAGATACAAAATGGTTGTTCATTTGTATCCCTCTTTTTTGTTTAGTTTTGTCAGAGAAGGGTATTCCATTGTCATTTAAATATTGTATGTACCTGAATTCAGCAAAATATTCCAATATAGTCCAGTAGTCCATAATAGTAGTGGATTTTGCATAAAACTGGCAATGACAGAACTTGTTGACTTGGCTGGGGAGATGGCTCAGTGGAACAAAAACTTGCCTGACAAGCGCAAGGGCCTGAGTTCAATACCTGGTTCTGCAAAAAAAAAAAAGAAAAAATAGAAAAAAAAAAAAGAAGAAGTTGTTGACTTGAGTCTTTTACAGCTCAGCATATTAAGATGGCTTTACTTTTTATACTTTTCTGCTGGATGGTTAAGACTAAGATAGAGCAAGACCTATATACAAGTAATGTAACTTTTGTATCTGATAAGGTCAGTCAAATCCCCTCAGGATTTATCCTGAAACCCTGTACCTCAGTTTGTAGATCCTTTGTCAGTGTCAGCCATGTGAATGAGTCACGGCCATTGCCTGACCAATTTACTCTAATGACCAAGCCATTTTACATTACTGTCAGTGATAAATAAGACTTCCATTTTCTCCACGACCTCACTTACCCTTGTTATTATCTCTTTTGTTCTGCCTGTCCCAGGGAGTGTGAAGTGTTACCTGATTTTGATTTGTGCTTTTGTAATGTCTAATGATATTGAACATCTTTTCACATCTTTTTGGGGAGTTTTCTGTTTTTTTTTAGTAAATGAGGTCATTTAGTCTTTTTTTTTTTTTTTTTTTTTTTTGTGGAACTGGGGATTGAACTCATGTCCTTGGCAAGTGCTTATTCTACTGAGCCATTTCCCCAGCCCCATTTAATATTATAGACATACTGTTTTTAGTCAAGAATTTAATCCATGTAGTAGATATAATCTGACCATATCTATTTTTTTCATGAATTTTTTAAGGAAGGAACTCAGTGCCAATTATGTTTAAGTTTAGCATAAACTGAAGGCAGTCAATGCACATGCGTAATTGTTGGGCAACCAGTGCCTGGCCTTCCTAATAGAACCACTTCATTTTCCTTACGTGGAAAACACTGTGCTGGGTATGTTTTCACATTTCACATCACATGTAGCATAGTGGTTCTAAATGGGCCTAGATGGGGTGAATAGGAAGTAAGTATCCAGGCAAAACCATTCGCTGAATTTTAAATGACATGCACCAGCGGTCAGGAAAGTGGGACTTAAGAAGAACCTGTTATGCATACTGAGGAAGACAACGGGAATCTCACAGACATAACAGGAGAACCCTGGGAAACTCAGCATCTTATGCAATTTTCTCATTGCTGGGAGAAAATATATGATAACTACAAATTAAAAGAGGAATGGTTTATTTCCGCTCACAGTCTGTAGCAGTTTCAGGTCATAGCTGGCTGGCTTGAAGGCAGGGTGGCATCTCAAGAGAGCCCCAGCATAGGAGAAACAGTCATGGCAGGGTAGGCAGGAGGCAGCAGTAGTGAGCCTTGTTTTCTTTTCTATCCCATCCAGGCTCTAGGCCTGTTGCACAGTGCTACCCATACCCAGGGTGGGCCTTCCCATTATCCACACTGAGAACAAGGCTAAACGAGTCAGTGAACTATTTAGTAATCATACACCCTTAATCCATATGCCTACACTCTAGATCCAGCCACCTCTGCAGAGCCCCACCTATGAGCACTTGAGGCTTTGGACAGACTTCTAGATACAAGTTGTGACACTCAGGAAGCAGCAGTTCATCAACTCTAGACCAAGAATTATTTGTGATCTAGGAAGGAGTTGGAGTAAGGGTGTGATGTAATAGCTACTAGCAACTTTCATAAACATAGGGGCTGCTTCTAAAGAAAATGATTCTACTGCGTTCTATAATTCGTTCTATGTTATTCTCACTCAGGGAACATCTACCTGATCCTCTGTTCATGTCCTGTAGCTCATGTTAGAGGATGATCCTGAGTAGGATAGATACTAGCCACGCAGTTCTGGAGTAATGTGATACTGAGTGTCCTAAGACTAGAAAAGCATTTTCAGCAAGTCTGTGTTGCTCAGGGGACCTGTGTTCACAGCCAGCAACAGCTCCCGGAAACTGTTGTACTAGCTCTGGTATAGGTTCATGGAAAACAAGTCTGGGGAACCAGTGACTGACCAGCTCATCTTGGTGGCGCCGTTGTCATCAAATCTTTTGGCTGCCATTGAGGTTGTGTTCACATTCTGCATCTCAGTGGACATGAGCAATAGTCACCTGAGTGAGTTAATGATTTGTAAGGAACCTGCGCTGCATCTGAGCTCATTCTGTAATGTCCATGATATTGGAGATGTGCAATAACATTTGAAATGAGTTGAAATAGAGAATTTGGGAAATCATGTTTGTTACTATGATATCTCTTCAGTAATCTGAGGCATCACTAAAGTACCAGTACATCTAATGATAGTCCAATTTTGAAATAAATTTTTCTTTCTTTCTTTCTTTCTTTCTTTCTTTCTTTCTTTCTTTCTTTCTTTCTTTCTTTCTTTCTTTAAACAGTGACTCAACTTACAGAATCTGTAATTACAGATCTGCTTTGCTTATACATCTGGACCTCAGGTTTCCTTTTTTCCCATTCATGCCTTGTTTATACAAGGGACACTGTAATAACCAAGTAGAACAATCTCTTTGAAGTTATTTTAACAGTAGTAAAGCAGGTTCCTGACCCTTATCTATACTGAAGGTTTACAAGAAATAACACTTTCATGAAATGATAAATCAGCCCTTCTTCTCAGCTCCAGTGAAATATATGACTACATGGTGAGCTGTAGCCATTGTTAAAATGTTGAAGGATTTGAATACAATCTGAGTGAATCGCGTGCAGAACAATTCACCGCAGTGCGTGCGTGGTGTACCGGTCAGCTGGGAGGCAGTGGGCAGGCATCGCAGGACAGGCCATCAAGTGCTCGGAGCTGAAGGCATTCAGCTCTGTGCCTGCTATTTCCTTCTGACAGAGGGCTCCTTAGTGAGCTGTTTGCCACTTTGCCTTCCAGAGATCTGCTGGAGTCAGCCTATCCCAGAACTATAACTTAAAAAATATATATATTTTTTCTGAACGAGATCCAAGTAGAACCAACAAAAAACAAAGCAGGATGTTTCCAACTCGACTGGCAATGATATCTGATGGTTACATTTTCAAAAATTCCTTGGGGCAGTGGAGAAAATGGCTCAGCAAGTTTGTAATACTCCCAGGGAACTGTTATTTAATAATGGCGGAGACAATTTGTAGCTGGATAATGGTAATTTCTGCTGTTCCTGGAACTTATACTGTAGGACCAGAAATCTTTAGCCCTTTTTTTTGGACATTTCTGGTTTTGTTCTGTTTTGTTAAAAAAAGAAAGAAAGAAAGAAAGAAAGAAAGAAAGAAAGAAAGAATCTTTAGCCCATTTTAAATGAAGTTATTTGTCTTTTTGTTGTTGAGTTCTAAGAGTTCTTTTTGTATTCTGGATTTTTTTATAATCTGGATATTTTCTTGTATCCAGAATATATCTCTTATTAAGCATAATGAGACGAGAAAGCTGGGACAAGATGGTCCAAGTGCAGGAAACTCCATGTCTTGCTGAATGCTGTTAGTGGTATAAATTTTTCCATCACTGTAATAAACTACCTGAAACTTGAAAATTAAATGACATTTGTTTTTAGCTCATGTATCTTATCAGGTATATGATTTATATGTATTTTTTCCATTCTTCTGTCTTTTTAATTTCTTGATGGTGTTCTTTGCAGCATTTTAAATTTTTAATGAAGACTAATGTACTTTTTAATGACTTGTGCTTTTCATGGTGTCTTTATGAAGTCATTGCTTAACCCAGTGCCACAAGATTTACTTCTGTGTGTTCCTCTAAATGTTTTATAGTTTTGGCACCTGCACGTAGGTCAGTGATCCATTTTGTCAATGGTATGAGATGGGGAATCTGAATTCATTATTCTGTTTGTGAACAGTTAGTTGTTCCAGCACCATTTGTTGAAAACAGCATCTTTTCTCTACTCAGTGGTCTTGTTGAAAGTCAGTTGACATAGGTGTATGGCTGTGTTGCTGAACTTTCAAGCTGACTCAGTTGATTTGTGTCTCTTTTATGAAAGTCCCAGATTGTCTTGATTGTCGTAATCTTGTAGGCATTTTTCTATCCTAACCCTCAAGTGTTGTCTATTTGAAGACTAAAAAACAAAACAAAACAAAACAAAAACCCTTCCAAAATTAAAAGCTTTGAACATGCTTATTTTTCTCAGATTTCGCGGAACCACTGACCATGCCTGGTTATGGAGGAGCAGCGTCAGCTGGAGCCTCTGTATTTGGTGCTACAGGGTTGGATAACCAGCCTCCGGAGGAGATCGTAGCTATCATTACCTCCATGGGATTCCAGAGAAATCAGGCTGTGCAGGCACTACGAGCAACGGTGAGCACGACAAGTTGTGTGTGTGTGTGTGTATGTGTGTGTGTGTGGAGGTAGCCTGCATTTCTGTCAGTAGAGGGGTACAACTACTCAATGTCCTTTGATCATTTTGCATCTTGTGTCTGTGACCCTTTACCCCACCTTGGCCCGCTAAGATTTCTTTGCACATAGTATATAAAGCTCAGTTGAATGCTTCAAGGAATCAAACAACAAATTTAAGCATTAATGAGATGTTAAAGCTGGGACAAGATGACCCAACTGCAGGAAATGCCATATTATTATGAATGTTAGTGGATGTACGTAAGCTTTCCCAGCACTGTAATAAACTACCTGAAACTTTGCAACTTAAATGAAAAGAGGTTTATTTTTGGCTCCTGGTTTTGGAGATTTTGATGTCTGTCTGCTGGCTCCAAAGCAGAAACCCCATGGCAGAAGGATGTGGTGCAACAAAGTTGCTCACTTCCTGGTGGCTGCACAGCATCACAGGGGAAGACTTGAGAGATGCATCCTCTGGAGGCCATGCCCACCTCCAACTTGGCCCTGCCTCCTCGCCGTGCCTTCTGCTGGGAGCTTCTACATGTTAATCTACTCATGAGTAGAGCCCCCAAATACCTCTCCATGAGCGTCTTAATCCACTAAGTTAACAATTAAGATTAACTGGTGCAGTTAATTAAGATTAACTGGTAAAACCTCACAGATTTTATCTCAGGCTTGCTCTGGCCTCAAACAAAGAGGGATGCATGAGATTATGTGTTTAGTAAGAAATTTCTTTGGGTAAAATGCTTTTCTGATATGAAGACCTTGGAGAAGTGTGCCTTTAAAGTCCTCATAGAAGGCCTGAATGGCTCCTTGGAATTCTTGCTGCTGTTCTTGTCTGCAGAGAGGGAAAGTTCTTCTGGTTGTTAGGAATATACTGATTTTATTAGAAAAGGAAGGACCATGAAACTAGAGGGTGGACATCTTCCTCTTGACAGCATGGGTATTTGTTTGCTACTTAGATTTTTTTTTAATCCTTTTCCCTGGTATAACCAACTTTTGAGTGCCTGTGTCTTACCAGCTCCTTCCTGCCTGTCCCAAGTGGGTGCATGCTAGACTGGTTGAGACCACAGAGATTCTTGTGTGGCTCACAGAGGTGTGGCTAGAATGATTTAAAGTTCTTTAGCACTTACCTTTAAAGTGCTTACCATATCTGAGCAGGGTATTATACCTTACTTATTTTATTTGTGTGCCTATTTCATTGGAATTTTGATTTTACTGTATTTTTTTGGTTGAATTGTTTTTTAGCGGAGGTTTATTTTTTGTTTTTGGTGCCAAGGACTGAACCCAGGGCTTCCAGCTTGCTAGGCAATCATTCTACCGCTGAGCCAAATCCCCAACCCCTCGTTGGAATTTTGGACTGTGTTTAAAGGAAGTTTTTAACTCACCCACGATCTCACAAATAAGGCAGGTTTGAACTGTAGAGTTAGTTCATTTTAAACAATCCTTAACTAAGCCATTGGTCTTGTCTTTAGCACAATACAGCCATTCAACCACAGGGGGAGAGGAGGCACAGATGCAGTTCTCATGTTTGTGCCCCCCTCATCTTGTAGAGTTATTTACAAAAAGTAAAGTTGATAAAGTAGTTTGTGCGATTTATTATGGCCGTAGCAAGGGCTGCACTTACATGAGTGTCGCCTTGGCATTCTGTGCCCATCAATATCAGCACCAGCCTGCAGAAGTGCTGAGCTAAGACTGATCGGAGCTTTGGAAATGCTGATCTGTGACTCAGAACTGTTTTTTAATGAACCCAATTACAGATCTTGGTTGGGGGACTTGCAGAATGCCAGGCCTTGTGCATGTCATGCGGAGTCAGAGCCTCTCACTGAGAGCCACTTAGGACTAATGAGTTCTGCCCTCCTCCCCTACATGCTTGACATGTAATTCATGTAATTCAATACAAGGCCTGGGGACTTCATGTATTTAAACTTGTTTTACTTTATTAGAACCATAACTTGGAAAGAGCACTGGATTGGATCTTTAGCCACCCTGAATTTGAAGAGGACAGCAACTTTGTGATTGAGATGGAGAATAATGCCAATGCCAACATTGTTTCTGAGGCCAAGCCCGAAGGACCTAGAGTCAAGGATGGATCTGGAAGTAAGTTCTTGCCGTCAAAATTGTCTTAGAATTCATGACTGTGCACGCAGTTCATGTCCCTCTCCTCGTCACTATGTAGCTGAACCTCTGCCACCAGCGAAAGTGTTACCCAGATCTTGTCTTCTCAAAAATGGTGCCTGTTGTCACTGTGCATAAGCTGCAGTGATCTGATAAAGTCTAGTACCTAGAATGTACCTAGTACTTCATCGTGGTAGTGGTACTAGTACCTACCAGTAGTAATAGTGTGTGTGTGTGTGTGTGTGTGTGTGTGTGTGTGTGTCTAGCTCAGCCCACCAGGGGGCGGGGCTGGCTGGCATGTGGTGCTGGGGGATTGAACCGCCGTCCCTTTGCTTTGCTAAGCTTGTTCTAAGTAGGTGCTTTAGACCACTGAGCCATCTCGCCAGCCCCTGAGGTAAAATTTCTTTATAGATCATATGAGCTTTTGTCAAAAACTGAGCATTTGTTTCCATTGTGGTGGTTCCACATGGTGGACAATCCCCTGTCCTTGATTATGTTAGTGCCAGTGCTGTCTGCTGGTAGTTTTCTGAAGGGCTGTCAGGAAGAGGTGCCACAGGGCGAAGTTCCGTCCTTTAATAGCCAACACTCATTTAATCATCACCATGTCTACCTGTAAAGAGAGAAAAACAGAGGCACAGAGGTTCTTTGCCCGACGTCATGTAGCTCTTAAGGTGCAGAGGCAAGATTCTAGAATCTATGTCTGAACCTTTTGATATTCTGCTTTTTGAGTTGCTGTTACTTATAGGATGATGGTTAGCCTTTTAGTCTGGTATTCAACGTGTCCTCCTGTCAGAGTCCAGCCTGTCTCATCTTTGTGTCACTTCTTCCTCACCACTTGTACCTGCAGCTCAGATGCCTGGTTGTGCCAGCATCCTCAGGGGTCTCACCTACCTTTAGGCTCAATTTAATTTCAACTTGTGGAATACCCTTCTCTCCCATCACTGTATATAGAAACCCTTGCCATTCTTCAGTACTTAGCTATAGGTCTAATTTTCCCTGATCCATGTGATCATCATAGTCCATGCTGGTCACATATACTACTAATAACTATACCAGTACTCATAATGCTTACATCTGTGCTGCCCATTCAACTGGGAGCCTGTGAGGCTAGAGGCCATTTTATGAAGCTCTTGATTTCCAAAACATAGAAAGTATCAAATAGATAACAATCAGTTTTAATTAAATTTATATTGCCAACATTTTTTCTCTGATCATAGAGTTGCATTTCTACTCATTAGTGGGTTTACAAGATACAACTTGTATTTATTGATTTATACGTAAAGAGAGAGGGGTGATAGGAACTTTGTTTTTAAAAAAATATGTAAAAAAACTGTGTTACTCTTAACTGGGTAAGAAAATGATAGGCTGTAATTCTCCCAATTTCCCTTTTCATCTAAAAGGTCTTATATTACTTTCAGAAATCATTGTGTTGCCTAAAACATTAGATGCTGTAATGGACCAGTTAATAATTTAAAAGAGCAGGGTTTATTACGTGACCATTGGTCTTCCCTGTGTCATCGATTTTCCATAATGGACTTTGGAGCCGCTGAGTCCTCACAGAGGGAATAAACCACCTGATGGGGCTGTTGCGAAGCTGCCGAGGTCTTTGGCTACAGAGGGTTTCTCTGCTTTGGTGGACCTTGGCAGCACTCACCACTCCCTCCAGGATGGCCAATAATGATAACAACCAAGTCATCCCCTCAGGAGTCACTGTCCCTCAGGGCCCTCTGCAGATATTCCTGAGCCAATAGGCTGCCTCGATGCTGCCTCAGGTGCCCTTGGAGGTATCTTGGGTCCATCTCTAGGGCTGAGGTGAGCTTGGAGAGGGAGCCCCGAGAAGCCATGTGCAGGATACACAGGCTATAAAGGCTGTAGTAGGTGAAAATTTAAGTTACGGGGAAAAAAGCAGAGACCACACTAACTTGGCAAAAACAGATGTAGTTTGACTTTATGGAAGAATAACTATTTTTAAAGTAGCTTCTCTGACCCTGTGCCTGATGCATGGTATGTGATCAGCAAATAACTGGTTGAATAGAGAATGAAATAAATGCCAGAGGTGGTGGCCACAGGGCAGTTTTCTTGCCTCCAGTCAGAGCTGCGGGGAGGAACTCGCGGAGTACTCTGTGTCACGCTGCATGAACCAAAGGAAGTGGGAGACACGACTTCCTGCACCTTCCCGTGGGGGTTCCTGAACTCATGCATCACTTGCTGCTTTCTTTTTCATTTTTTAAACAAAAAATTAACATTTATGTTCTTCTTAAATTAAGAGGCTATTTGTTTTAGCAACTTGAGAAAATCTGTGTATGCAGAAAGAGGAAACTGAGAAATTGCAGTCCTACTACCTAGAAATAGGGACTGATAATGTTTTGTGTATAATTTTTAG